GGGGGGGGGGGGGGGGGGGGGGGGGGGGGGGGGGGGGGGGCGCTGCTACTCCGTTAACTCAGCGTTAAATCTAAAACATCAACAACAATGGGGGAAAACAGTGAAAATATGATAGAGGAGTCCTCTCACACAAGAAAAACTCTGACCACATTTCCATTTTCTAAAACAACATGTCTATGTAACTGTGGAAAGTATAACCTGAAAGATTTACCTCATCTTCGCGTGAGTAATTTTAAGTCGTGTACTCGGCTAATAGTAATTTATCTATTTCACTCCTACTCCTACTACTTATTATACTGCTACTAAGGCTAAGGCTACTACCTACTTAGTAACTTAACTATAAATTCATATTCATATGCCTATATAATTTTAAATAAATACATTTTAGTTTAAATAAACAGGGATAATTTTAACAGTAGAGTAGATCATATTGATGATAGTAGTAAAAAGTAAGTTTAACTCAACAAAGTAGGCCTATGCCTATAGCCTATATCAAATTTATAATAAAATATGTAGGCGTAAGCCTACCAGTAGTAAATAGTAGAGTATCATTTACCATTTACATTATTATTATCATTATGCATACTTAACTTTTAACAAGTTCTCTTAATTAACTTCAAATTATTTATTAATAACTTGTATTTTAGAATCTAGAGCGAACTAGCCTAGCTAGGTTTAGGAGGTTACCCTTAAATCCGATTTATGTGTATAGTGTATAGTATAAATTATAAATGTAAAAACTTTGTTGTGATATTTAGGCACTGTACTGTAGTTAATCATCAGTCTCAGTATCTAGAGAGTAGACTTACTAGTTGAGTAGGTGTATTCTGTACACCGTACTGCAGATTTATACTGGCTTACTATTCAAATCTGTCATGTCAGTTAACACTGTTAATAAAGATAAATGGTCAGTTTGGGAATTTGTACAATTAAAAAAAGAAAGAAAGCTTTTCATTGTGTAAGAAAAAACAATTAAGATTGTGGAACATTTATTAATTATAGGTCCATATAAAATATAATGTAAATTTATAATTTTTTTCTATAGTCTATACATTTCATTTTAGAAAATTCTTCCTGAAGACTACGAATACAAACTATGTGAATATCTGCAACTAGATCGGGATGATAAATTTCTTGTGACACTTCGTATGACTTTATCCACCAAAGAAGAGGCATTGGAATGGAAACGCCGGTTTGAAGAGAGATCCTTAACAACCCATGTCAAGGACAAAACTTTTCCTAAAGTTGAAAGAGTTAGTGTTTTTAAAGTAAGTTTAAATTATTTTATTATTCTCTTTCTCATACATTGATCAAAACCAAGGGCAACATCTTTTTTGTATGGTTGGTCAAGGTTATGATGGATTTTAAATTTTTACATTCTTGAAAATGTCAAAATACTTTGTTTTTCCATGCCTGAAAATAACAATATAATATTTTTTTTCAAATATTTTCTATCATTTATGGAAGTAAACAATTTTGATATTGTCAAATAACTTATTACTTTTTCCTAGGCCCAGTACAGATGTCAGTTTTTTGACCGCAGGAAAAACAAGAAAAAGCTTCCTGAAAAATCAAAATTTCGTGACTGTCACAGTATCCTCTTCATAAATATAAAAAAATATTTCAAGAATACTGTGTAAGGAATAAGCCATCAATTTTATAAGAGATCATGCAATTGCATGCTTTATTTCAGTAAAAAATGTCATACAATTGTATTGAAATACTTAATAGCTTTTTTTTTGGAGTTCATCAGCCGTTACTAAATCAAATTGTCATTATTCACCAAATTTAAAAAAAAAAAAATTATTTAACATTAGTGTGACATGGATTTTTCAGTGATCGTCACATGCCAACTTTCAAAACTGTTGTGCGCCTGCACTATGCTCATGACCATCCTCTTGACACTGCTGATGTGTTGAAGAAACGCCAACTCAATGAGGACATCAAGCAGAGGTTCCTGGAAATGTTCAGACAAGGGATGAAACCCAAAGATGCCTTAGATAAACATAAACGAGATTTGCTACAGAACCTAGGACCTGAAAAGTACAGACAAGTTGTTTGTGATGGCTATTATGTACCAAATGTTCCTAAAGCTTACAGGTGAGCATCCTACACCCACTCAATGATGCCCTTTCATCTTCAGCTTATGCATTTTTAAAAAATTTCTATTTTTTATCAATCTTTCAACTAACTCCTAATATACTTTCAGTAGCAGTTGGGGAGCTACATCATTGGTATGAAGCTTGTATTTTTAGAAATGAACTTTTCATGTACCAGGACTATTTATTTTATTAATTTGCTATCATATTTCAACAATATATTTTCTTTTCAGCTAATGATTTTAATTAATTAACTACCCATGTTTATCTTGAACTAATATTGGTCTTTAAATTATATTTTTTCCAGACTGTATTATCAGATACATGGGAAAGGAGTCTCAGCCAAAACAACAACAAAAAGATCATCAAGACACAATCCTAATCCAGACTGGATAGCTTTCCAAAACTGCCCAGATATCACTGTTGAAGATGAGGAAGACTGCCCTGCTGATGAAGACAATGATGATAGCGATACTGACTATAATGTAGGTGGTCGTGTAGAAAACAATGAACGTCTTCAGACAGACTGTCAGAATATGCAGAGTCTTCCTATGACGCAAAGTAATCCAGCCCAAGTCAGTGATGGATCTATTAAAGACCCGATGTTGTCACATGACCACCCAGACACTCACACCATGAATCCCAAATCTACAGTGAGAGAGATAGTCTCCCAGCACAGTATGCTGCATCATGATGGTGAGCTGCAGAAACTAGCAGAGACAGCCATAGCCTACCCCAACATTGCTGCCCACAACTCAGTTTACACAGACCAACGTAGCCAAACACTTCCACAGACTATGCCCGTGGCAACATTTTCTGAAACCCACATGAGTATGGGCCTTTTCAACCCAGCCCAGTCCACATGGGAAAACTTTAACCTGGCTCATCAGGCCAACGTTGCTTCCAGCCTATCTCCACAACACAATTTGGGCTTCCAGCATCTGCCACAGCCAATCTCGCATTCTAGTTATATGATAATGCCCAATTCTTCATGTCAGAACTTGGAATCCCATTACAGCACATCACTGGCAATGATTGATCCTAGAGTGCAGAATGGCATATCGCGCACTGGTAATGAGTTCGACTTGCTGGGATCCAGCACGGCTCCTCAGTACAACTGGTCATCACATAACAGACATCAAGACAACTTAGTTGCCACCCAAGCACATTTAACTGGACACGATGTCCATAAGGGAAAAGTGTTACCCACAAAATACTCCACAAACGGTAATGACAAAGGGAGAAAATCCAGCATAAAGAAGGCGGTTCAGAAAAAAAGGAAAATGACCAAAGAACTTAACGTCAAGCGTGTGACCAAACGCTGGATGGACAAGAAACCCAAAGTCGAGGCTGAAACGCAAAACATGGCCTCAGAGGTACTACAAGGCATCCTGCTCACAGACGAAGCAGAGAAACTCAAAGTTAAACTCTTGACATTTTTATCAGATCTGGAATCGAAAATGAGCTCAAACCCAAAACTTTTTGTGCCCGCCATTAGAAGCTTCCTACAAGCTGGCGAGGATGCTCATGACGATCTTGAGCTTGCCTCATTTCTGAAAGATTTTAGGAAAACGGAGGAAAGCATAGTAAAGAAAATGTTTGCCAAGAAGTCTGAGACCAGGGAGAACCGAGGCACTCAAACAACCTTGTCAGGTCCGGTTGTGAGATGCTTTAAGGTGAAGGGAATAATTTCACCCACATCAAAACTTAGAACAAAAAAAAAGTTTGAAACAAAAATAACAGACCCTGAGGTTTCAGAGAGTCTTCTTCGGTCAGCTGTCACAGGAAATCTCTCAAATTTCTTACTTTCTGAAACATCAGAACATTCAGTTGTTTCTGTTGCAACTGATTCAAAGTACCGTGAACTGAAGACGGCGTTATCAAAAGTACAGAAAACTACAAAAAAGCCACTGAGAAAGAATTCAGTACCAGCAAAGCAGCAGCGAACATTTTCTAAAAAGAGAACACAAATTGTTAGACAGGAGGCTGAGATTTCCCAGACAAATACAATTTCCAATAGCCATAATCCAAGGATTATAGTACGTTTAATGCGCCAAGGCTTAGATAAAAAAAAGTAAAAATATCTTCAAAAATATTTCAGGTGGAAGGACTTCCTTAGCAATGATACATTTTATGAAACAGCAGGATTTTATTGCAGGATTATATTTTTGATGGTTCATAACTCAGGTGTGACTTTTCTGTAGTGGTGTTTTGGTTTTGTTGTGACAGTAGGCTGATGATCTTTCAATAGCCTTATGGGCTATACAGTGCGTAATGAATTATTATTTAAAAAATATTTTGATTAAGTCACTTAAAAATTGTGATACGTGTGTTCGACTTAACTTGCAGTTCATTTATAAAGGGATCTGTGTGTTTCTCTTGAAATCACATGTGGATGGACACAGAAAGAAGTCATACAGAGTGCGCTCTTTTGAAATTATGGAACAGCTTGCCTCAATGTTCGAGGGAAATTGAAAATGATAAAAAATCATTTAAGAAACATTTAAAGACCTTTTTCTTTAAATAAATTTAAGAATATCCTAGCGCTGTGAGCATGCTAAAATTGCGTGGATACAAGCGCCATATCAATCAATCAGTATCAAACTCAGTGACTTTAAGGTACACAGTATTGGCCTCCTTTAACATACCACAGCTGTCTTGATCAGTTTAAAGTTATACAGGTAGTGTATTACTGCCCTGATTGAACAGTGGCTACACCCCATATTCTAATATCTTTTTGAAATTATTGTATAGTGACCAACTAAATAATTCTGTTGTTAGTAATGGTAGATTTGAAAAATTTTGTTTGTTACCCACTGTTATGATAGTGTTGCCATGCAGTATTATCGTTAGTATTAAAAGGTACATTTGTCTTAAAGGAAATACTCTCAGGGAATATAGACTGACTTTTTAATTTTATTTTATGAGATCTGATTGTATCAATCATTTTATTTTGGTGATCATGATTTTATACATATTATATATAATATATATACATTTATATAAATACACACAAATACATACACATACACATGCTGATGCTATGTTTTTGTGTTTTTTTGCTTGCTTGTTGGTGTTCAAATTTTTGCGGTATTATTTTGGTTGAAGAGACGTAATGAACATAAGAGGTCATATTTTATTTTATTTTTGAGTTAATCAGATCTTGAAGAATTTACACACCCTCCAACTTATAACAATATGAAAATAATAAGAAAAGTGTTATTAAGTTTTCCTTAAATTAAAAATAAGGCTAATTTGACCATAGGATAGGTCCCCCCATCCACTATATTTTTTTCATGCTTTTTTTAACTCATAATTAGAGAGTGATTCAATTTTTTTTTTGTAACTAGTATTTAACAAGAAATAAAATTAATTATGTCTTCATGATTCAAATAATATTTTTTAAATGATTATGCACATCGTGTAGATATGTTTATAATTTATTCATCAAGTTATTTTTTATATAACATTCATGTCAATAGATCTGTTAGTTTGTTGCTGTTGTGTGAAGATTTTTAAAACCAATGGAATAAATTCAGATATAGCAAATGTTATGTTTAGTATTGTTGTCCTTATGAACCCTACACTACAAAGACAGTCACAGTTTAAAAAAATATACAGAGTAGAGGAAAACCTGAAGGAGGACAATACAAAAAAAGTGGACGTTTTGGTCAAGGTTTACCCCACCCTGTGTATATTTTCTTACTGTTTCAACCTGAAAAAAGACATTTTTTAATCTGAAGTTTAATATTTTGTGGCTCTACTTCTTTGAGTTTTAAATACATAAATAAAGACAAAGTAAACATGTCTTTCTCATAACCAAGGACATAATTTATGAGATAAGGACATATATGTTATTTTAGTAAATTTTATCTTTTTTTTAAAAAGGATTAAATTTACCCCAACAAAAAGACAGCGGTCTTGCTTGCTAACACCAATTTATTCCAATCATTGATAAAGAATGTACACTACCAATAACAATCAACATTTTCCAGCTACAATAGCAATGACAATAATTTTAAATACTGTGCTCATATCACAAATGAGCTTTACTTAGTGACAATAGCAATGACAAGAATTTTAAATACTGTGCTCATATCAAGGATAAAACTTCATTGTAAATCAACATGGTGAATTAAGTCCAAAAATTGTTATTGTCAAACTAATTTAGTTTAAAAAAAAAAATAATTGAAGATTTGGCCCAGTCTAAGTATGATAACCTTATATTGGTGTCAAATGCCAGATTGTCCAAAGAGGTCACAGATAATTTAATCCAGAAAAACTTCTTAAACGTGGATGTTTGGCCGCCAGGGAGTGATGGACCTTTCTATGTAGAAATACCTGATAATAAAATAAAATGTTCCTACCCACTTCCATTGGGTGTGTAAACCCCATACAAGTTTTAAGCCATTCTTTACTAATTTCTACCATTACACAAATATACAGAGATCAACATCCACTTTATATACATTATATGTTTGTGTGGAGAATTTATAGTTAACAATGAAAAAAATTCCATTACAAATCATCACTTTTATGAGACTTCTGGTAACCATTTTCATTGTTTATTTAAGAAAACTGTTAAAACAGAAAGTTAAAAAAATTCTTCTTTAAGTAACTTTCTAAAGTGATGCAAGTAACTAGCAAAGTTGATAAAAAAAATACTTAAAGAGCTCTCTACTCTATATATCTATGTGACATGGAACCCCATACAACAGTCAGGAGAATCAAAGAAATATAGTACACCATGGGTAACAATAGAAATCTACATTGCACAGATCCACTTTGGATTAAACAAGGATTATGTTCTCAGGTTGTAAGTTTTTAATAGTAAACAAATGAGCTTTACTTAGTGACTGATAGGCTAGAAAGACGCCATCAAAATATGGCCAGGGTGGGTGACCTTAAAGCCAACCAATGTGTGTGGCAAATAGACCTCATTAGTGTGGTAAATTTAGCTTTGCCCAAAAGAAAGAAACAAAACAAGTAAATATTGTATGTTCAAGTAAAAATTATTCTTAAAATATCAAAGTTCATCCAAATTTTGTAGTATTTTAGCCATCAGTAAGGCGCATCATACTTATATAATGTCAATTTAGTTTAGAAACTGGACTATTGACAGTTAATTCACAATGCCATTCCCTGCCTACATTTCTGTTGAAAAAATAAGTAGAAATAAAAAACGTGTGACAGATTTTAAAATTGTTTGGATCAACTTTGACTTTGTGAATAAGCATTCTCTACAATGGGATTTATCAAGTCGAAATACAGATCCCAAATTGTTGATATGAATTTAGAAAGGCAAATGTGAGTCGGACCGTGAGTAGTACAAGGAATGAAGCTAAATTTTTGCAGCTCCTTAATGAAAAGGAATTTCAGATTTCACATTAAATTTTGTTTAAAATATGATTAAATGGTCTATTTTATCTGTGAATATTTTATTTCGAACCACAGAAGTCTGTCATGATTTTCATTTAGTGTTTATATTTTACTTTTCATTTGCCACAGCAGTAGCTTTTTTGGAAAAAAAGATTGCCCACCCTTGAACTAAGGTTTGTGAGGGCTGTTGAAAATGTGGATTACAACATTCACAGAAATGATAATTTACGGCAGAAGTGTATCCTCTAGTTGATAAAATAATGCTATAACTCAATCATAACATCAAACTAAAACAACATATAAAACTTATGCAATTGTTAACAATGATAATATACAATAAATAATCAAATAAGAAGAATAAATAATCAACTTATTTGATGTTGTATAAAAGATCAGCTTGCAATTGATAACATATATCTTTTTTTCCCTGCCTCATCCCATTCAAAGCTAGTTTAAATATTCCACATTCTTTTCCAGTAGCAGTCTAAAATCAGTTTTGACATTAACTGAGTCATCATTCTGTCACTGAGCCTTCACCATTTAAGTCATTGAGCTTCTACAGTTATCACGCTCTCTTCCATTGGCCTGTCACAAAGAGTCCAAATAGAAATAAACTTTCACAGGAATTCATTTGAGCAAAGAGACTTACTGTACTGACTTAAAACAAACTTGGCTTACATCATTTATTTCAACGCCTAGAACTGTTCACATCATGTCCAACCATTGGTGGGGGCTGATGTTCTGTTAAAATTATGTGAAAAAAAAGCAGAAAAAAAAAAAAGCTGATGTACAGCTGACATGGGTGACCAATGCACTTCAAGCCTGAAAGCAGCTAAAATATATTGAATTCGATCTCTTCAAATTTTCCATGTGTAAATCAACTGATAGAAGATAACCACCAACTTTATACAATGGTACAAGATTCTCTTAATGAGGAATGCAAATCTCTTTCTTCACCTTTACACCTAGGGTAGAAATACTCATAATTATAACTCCTTATACAACGGATGTGCTGTGGTTCTAATAAAATTAAATTTGTCATCCATCTTAAAACGTACATATAATATATTTCAATGTGTTACTGTTATCACTAACAAAAAGTAAATAAAATGATTTTCTTAAGCCAACAATAAATGTCATTGTATTCTTGATCTATTTGGGATCAAACAACACATCTAAAATAATTACATGTATATTATGTTATAAATAATAAAGGCAATGCATTGATCGGTAAATATTTTTGCAATCAAAATTTTAAATATTTCCTTTTTTCTGGCTATAATCAAATTACAATTATTAAATTCTTCAGAAGGAAATGATAAACTAACAAGATGTTGATGTCAGGGGAAACAAAAAAAAAATTAGTTTATCATTTTCATTATTATAAAATGGATCAGTAAAACTAAATAAGTTTGTCATGATCAGGACTACAATCTGGCATGTGATGCATAACACAGAAATGCTTATTTCCTTGACGGTTTTAGTGAAACTAAAGAAAATTTGGAAAATATATTTAAAAAAGAAAAAAAAAAGACACCCCCCCCCTCCACAAACCTACGTTTCTATAATTTATAAGAGATCCAAAAAAAATTTCTTCCTCCTTATGCTTGGTATTTTTATATAAATGCATATTTAATATAAATTTTATTGATAAAAAAACCATTTTAAAGTCATCTGATATTAACTCAGTGTTAGATGTTTCTCTTCATTAAACAATGTTAGCAAGATCAGGGTTCACCTCTTGTTTACTTTTTAAATACCATTAGGTGAACAGTGAGGCTCTAGCCCTCCATTAGACATTGATAAATCTACTTCATTATGACTGGCAGTTGACAACTTCAATATTAGAGGGTTACAACTTTAATTTACATTTAAGATGGAAGCTAAATTACAATTAAAGTCCTTCTTAATCTTAATAATCTTAACGAATATGAAGCATCTAATAATCATCTTTGAAACAGACAACAACAAAAAAAACCCCCACAATACTTTTGTTTACAAGATCAGAAAACTTCTATTTGGTCAATACATGGAAACATCTATTGTAGAGACTAGGCACTGACATGCTCAAAAGTCAGTTTCATTTTATATGAAATTAAAACATTTCCTCATTTCCTTCATATCACTTTAACAATTTCAAACCAATACGTGTACGCAAAAAAATACCTCATTAAGAAGTGCATCAAATACAAAAGTTAGTGTTGAGATAGTGTTGCGAGTGCTATTGGTAATCTCCAGATGTCCTCTTTCTTAGATCAAACAAAAACAGGGTTAAAACAATTGTCATTATAATGTCAGCAAACCTATGAATCAGGATTCCATATTGGGATCAACAAAATCAAACAAAATGAATGAGTCAATAAATTAGATCAATATTGGTTCTCCGAAAACATGATATACAACTTTATACAAGGTAACACTTGTACGGCATTATTGGAAACTTTACATAAGCTTTAGTTTGTAGACATATATATTACAAAGAACAGCATTTAAATAGTATGTTATTTTTAATTTTGTCCACTTATAACC